TTTTAGACTTTGCAGGGTCTTGTTTCTACATAATCTTGCTTTATGGGTGAAATTGTCATAGTGGCTGGCTGTGCTCCACCCATTCCCTGTGCTCTTTGTTTCAAATACATGTAAGCCAAATATATATTTATAAGTTAAAAAAATATATTATTACATACATATATATGTAAGTTTCTTTTGGTTGATGTCCTGTGCTGGGACTTGAAGGTGGGATTTCAGCCATATACCGTCTCCCAGTCTCCAAATATGTTCACCTCTAATGAACATGAGATAAAACCTCATGTCTCTGATTTCTGGTGGTTTTCTACATGCAGAGCTCTTCTACACATTTTCATTAGTATGATGGCCTAGCCATAGAGGTGAATGGGACAGGCAGACTTACGAATGTGGAAATCTATGCAGACTGAAATGAAGGCGTTTGCTAGTTTCCTGGGCAGTGATCCTCTCAGTAGTGCACCTAGTATGATGGAATCTGCTACAGAGTGGGATCTCTGGGGCCAGTCTGGCTGCTGGATGTTAGAAACAGCTTTTGTAATTTATTAGAGACTGCTGGAGGGACTTACAGACAGTTCAGCACATGCCTCCATAGGTACTCATGGACCTGTGCACCAATACAGCCACTGCAGAGCACCTCAATGCTCTGTGACAAAGTCTGTGCTGCTCAATTTAGGAACAACCTGCATAAACACTGCTTCAGGAGCAAATAATTGCTAAAGGGCTTCTATTTTTTCCCCTCAGACTCTGCAAGCAGATGAACTGTAGGTGCTGGAGGAATTCCCCCTCGCTTGTGTAATCCCTGGTTCAAATGACCGAAAAGCTCAAAGTAGTAGCTTGTGACTCCTGGGTGCCCTCTTCACCCATGGCTACAGGCTCACAGCTCTGGGTCCTTCATTGTAATAGTATCTGTTGCAGGTGTGCAAAACTGGGACCATGACTGTCTTTCGCAGGAAGGTTAGAGCAGCAAAAGGAGTGTCTGAGATACTGGGTGATGGAGGAAGAAGGTCTCGTGATGCCTACTCTGGGCTGCACTGAAGAGGATTGGGCAGATACCTATGTGCATCATTTCCTAGAGCGAAATCTTTGTGAGGGCCTTTTTGCTTTCAAGAGAGGTGTCCCTCTTGGGAGTATTTTCAAGGGCTGGGAAAATCTCCTTTTCTGAGTTCTCCTTCAGGCACCAAATGGCAGGAAAATGCCCCATGAGGAATGGATGCACATGAATGAGTGGGTTAACTCTGCAGGCAGGATTCCAAACTCCTCCTCTGAGCAGTGAATGATGCTGTAGAAGAATAACGTCGAAGAACTGCATGTCTGTCAGCACCTGGAACCCAGGTCACTCTTGGACTCATTGGGTCCATGGAAGAGGGCAATTGCCTTGGGATCTGAGAATTATAATGTGCCTCTGTGATATGGGGAAAGGCACAGTCACTGCAGCAAGTAGGCTTTTGCCAGGAAAATTCTCTTATGTACTTACTATGTAAGTCAAGAGTATTTACAGGAGAGCTTGCTGCCTGTAACTTAAAGCTTTAGCGAAACAAATTGGAATTGCCTTCTGGAGGCCATTGTTATAAATTACAGCCTCAACATCTGTCCACATCTGCAGTGTCTAGACAACCCGTCTCGGCTAGAAGAGTGAGCATGGGGGGTGCTGTGATCACAGTGGGGAGGGGAAGCAATGCTGGGGCTTGTGCCAAGCACCCTGGCTCATGCTGCCCCTCTGCTTTTGAGCATCATGCTCAAAGCAGGATCCAGCCCAGCCAGGAGGGACTTCAGGGGCATTCAGGGTAGGAGGAGAAACATCTGCCTTCCTCCGTTACAGATTGATGCCAGCAACAAATTTGGCCCTTGGAAGTCTTGACTGCTGTTGTCTCATTTATTGCATGTTGAAGGATGTGAGAGAAGGCAGTGCCTTCAGCCAGGCTTGTTCCTGGTTTTCCTTGGCCCCTGTGCAGCATGCGCGATACAGAGGCCAGGCCCGTCAGCTGAACGATTGCATTTTTTTTACAGTTCCTAGCGCAAACCTTCTCATTTATATGTAAAGTAGCCATTAGTCATAGCTCTGTTCCCTCACACTGCCTGATGTACAATCACATTTTGCAGTGGATGAATCTTTCCACACAGCTGCTCTGCTATGAATAATCCGTTGCTGGGCCCATAAATCAGAAAAAAATCATGCACCTCCTTTGCCTGATCCTTACACAAAGTCATATATTTTACATGAGGACAAACTAAATATTCATGAGGCTTTAAAAGGCTGTTCTGACTACAAGGTACTTGTTGGGGTTGTTTTTGTTCTGCCAGGTCAGGTTTGCTGGTTTGGGTTTGTTTTTTGTCCTCCTAAGAAGAAATCTTTCTTTCCTCTTTGCCACCCTTCAGGCAGCAGCACTGAGCTCCCAGCAATGCTCCTCTGGACTCGTGTTTGCCGAAGGACTGATGAATTTGTCATTGCTGCTGTGTCAAGGACAGGCTGATGGAAGGTGTTGCAAACACCATACGACACATCCCAGGGGAGGTAGCAAGGCCTCAGAGAGTGAAGGAGCTGCTTTAAGGGTAAAGAGGAAATTCCACATCTGTGCTGGGGGCTCCTGTCTGGCTGGGAGTCAGGGTGCGTGTTTCTGTATGTGCATCAGCCTGGTGCTCCACATTGGGGCCTCTGGCAAGACATGGAGACTAGGAAGGCTGTTGAACTGGCGGTATAGTACCTGTTCAAGAATGTTGTCACCCTGATTTATTTTAATCCATATTGTAAACAAAGCACCTACAGAGTCAATAGAGAGGACTGAGACCAAGGCTTCAGCATCTTCTGCTTCCCAGTGGCCAAGTGAATCTGGTGGGGGAGCAGCATCATGCAGCCACCATGGTAAGATGGGAAACTGGGAAGTGAGCTCAGGTTTCATCTGCTCAGCATCTGCCCTGCCCAAGACACTCTGCCTTGGCCATCCAGAGTCAGTGATGATGCTATTAGTGCAGGGAGAGCTCTCAACCCCCAGGAGGGTCACCAGATCCTAACAAGTGTGAAGACAAGAGGCTTTCCACCTTCTATTTGCTGAATTAGCAGCTCCCAATAACTGAGAGGGACCAATCTCATCCTTCCCTGCCCTGGTCCCATCTGCCCTTACAGTAGTTTTGCCATTTGTGTGGTCACAAGAAAAAGCCAGTTAGACTTGCCAGGAAAGTGTTTAACTTATATTTCCTGAGTATAATTTTCCTGACACTACAGTGAACTAAAACAGCTCACTGTGCTAGCAAACAGGTTTTGGAACCAGCAGAAGGTGAGAAGAGGAAACATGTGGCTGTCAGAGTCAGGAGAGAGGATTCAGCTCCCCTTTTCAGCAGCACAAGGGATACAATCAGCTCAACCTGTAAATGTTAATCTACAGCTTACACTGCTGTGGTTTCTCTGCAGACAAGCCTTCTTCTCTGGTCATCCCCTCCATATGTGCAGCCTTGCACGTATCTTCTTATACCAGGTAATGAGTATCTGATCAGTGAACATAATTCATACTGTGTGGTTTTGGACTCTCTCCCTTTGCTCTTTCATGACTGAGTAGCCCTTTGTCCTAAAAAAGCCCTTTGCCCACTGGCTGCAAGGAGCCATTCTGCCTTCAGTTTCCCCAGGCCACTGCACACAGCCTTTAGCTGAGAAGCCACAGTCCTGTGTGAAACATGCCACTGTCAGGGATAAGCTGGGCTGGAGAGGCTGAGCTGAACCACTGGGATGTTTCTGGGTGCAGGGCTCCCTGTCACCTTCTCACAAGCTCTTATGCTATCAGAGATCGCCTGTGTGCTCATCACTGTGAAACACAGCCCCAGTAGCAGCTGCTGCCACTGCTGCCGCCAAGTTCTTGCAGGACAAAGGGAACAACAAAAGATTCTTCCACCAGTGAAATCCCTTCTTCCCTTCCTTTTTGCTCCAACTTGGAAAGAATGAAGCCAAGGCACTGCCAAAGTAGATGAAAACAAGGCCAAACACACACAGATGGTGACTCCACAAATTTAATTTAAAATCATCCTTTATTATTCAAAATATAAAAATTCAGGCAATAATGCCCAAAGGAACTGCACTTATTAAAGTTTCCTAATGTTTCATGGCCAAATCTTTCTGCTTCCACCATGGGTCACTGGGACAAGAAGAGAAACCCCTCTGCAGTGCAGAGAAAGGTAGGGCTGTACCTGTGGTAGATCACTTAACCACTTACTTACTGACCCAACCAGCTTCACTTGAAGCAAAGCACCAGCTGTTCCTTACCCAATTAATGACTGCCACAGCAAATTAACATGGCTTTACACCAGGCGTGGATGTGGTCCGCAGAGTCCAGAATGCACAGAGCAATATGCTATTGCAAAAATAATCACAGTAATATCTTTACTGTTAGGTAGCATCCTTCATCTGGAAGGATGGTGAGGTCCCTGAGCACTATATGGGCTCATTTCATGCAACGTGCTCTGCAGTGAGGGGGTGGAGGGCAGGGAGGAGGGTATGGTTGCTGTTTCAAGGAAAAGTAAAGAGGAATTGGTCAGGGCGGCTCTAGTGTGGCAGAGATAGCAGTGACTAGACATGTTCAATTCCTGCAATTCAAACAAGCAATGGTTTGTTTGGTTATAAATCTGTTGAGTGTGCCTTCTCCCTGCCTTATGCACCACAGACCTCTCCAATGTCTCTTCACCTGCTATGTGATGTGACACCTTGATGGTGTCACAGCTTGGTGTGCTGACCATTCTCTCCTCTGGCCACAGAGGACATAGAAAGCTGGAGGGTGCACAGCTGGCCATTCAGCTGCAGGGAGCATCCCACAGTGGGAAGAGACACAAGGTCAGGCTGCAGATGCAGAGATCCAGGTGAGATTCCCACAACAAGGTGTTAATTCATGTTCAGTCCTGCTGGGCCAAGTGCTGCTTCTCAGAGTCCTTCCTCAGTCACTCTGTGCTAAGGTTGAGGCTCTTGCCCTGTCCCTCTGCAGTGGTTCTGCTTTGTGGGGTCCCGATGGCAGTGTGGCAGAATAACCAAGCCCTGACCTACCACCAAGTTTAAGTCCAGCCCCTAAACACTCATTAGTTTTGGCTCCACATAGTTCAGGGACATAATCCCCTGTAAGTTACAGTCCAGACAGATCAATCAGCCTGGAGGGCTTTGGGACACTGGTGTCTAATGCTGAAGCATTACACTTTCCAATTTTCCAACAATTAGGCGGCCATCAGATATTATTGACAAATAAACCATACAATCAAAGCCCTGAGCCTGCCACACTGCTACCAGGAGGATCCATTTACATCCCAAGTCAGTTGCAGGATGCCTGGAGGGAGGAGACACAGGAGAGTCCTGCCTCAAGCACCAGCAGCCCCTGGTTGCCTTCAGTGCTGTTACAGGAGCCCTCCCTTTGTAATTATAGGACTCCCTCATTATAATTACTGTTATTTATATAATCGTGGTGAGTGTTTTCAGTGCTGTCAGCAGTCTGGAAAGTGCCCAGCCCCACTAGAGCCAAGCATTTCAGGCATTTCAGTGCTAAGAGTCTGGGCTTAAAGTACAACGGCCAAGAGCATGGAAGCTTCTTATCCTGGTGACATGGAAGCTTTATTCGTGAGATTTCTATGCCCTGGGATTTGTAGAGGGAAAACATCAGGGTATCTCTTCCTCCTTCTCTTAGACCACTGCTCTGGGAGCATAGATCATGCCAGCATCACACCCTGCAAAGGCTGACATTCCCCGTCACCTCTGCTGGGTCACTGGCTGCAGCAGACACTCCTGGCGCTGGCTCATGAGGCACCACCTAGTCACATGTCCCTGGGAGGAATCCAGTAATGGGCACATCCTCTGCATCCTCTGTTTTCTCTCTGATCATCTTGTCTGAAAATCTGGAGGAGATGGAGTGTTTAGAGAAAATGAGGGAAGGGACTGGTACTCAGGAGATACTGGTTTTGTGCCTGTGTCAAAGACAGGAATGAAAACAATGGGTTTGAGCTACATATGGGTAAGCAAGTGCTGATGTTTGTTGCTGGCTTCTCTGCATTTAAACAGGAAGAAATTCAGAATATTTCACTCAAAATGCAGAGCAAATTATGTAAATGCAGCAAGGAAAAGAATCTGAATGTTTTACTAGATGACAGACTGGCTAGAAATCAGTGTTGTGTTTGCTATAGAGAAGTAGAAACTTACCGGGGTCTTATAATTGGTATCAAAACCACAGGAAGCAATTCCTCTCTGCTGCTCCATACGATGTGGATTCAGTTTTTTGGGCAATGTGAAAAATGTAGAAAAACTGGAAAGAGATGAGGCAAATGTAATAAACAAGAGGATTAGAAGCAATGGCTTCCACGTGAGTTGGTCATATAGGGTGTGCAACAGAGAAACAGAGGGGATATGGTAAATATTCTCCTCTCTATGTGCAGCTGGTAGTCAAGGAATGCTGATCATCTATTTTTTTCTCTTTGCTGCTCAGTATAGCAAAGAAAACTTGGTCCAATTTTCAGGGAAAATTGATCTAGAAACATTATTAGAAAAAGGGCACCAAAACACCACGGGAGGCTTTTTATGTACAGGATGGCTTCAAACAAACATCTCTCAAGAATGATGTCAGCCTACTTGATCCACTCCAGCGATGCAAATTTTCCTGTTTCACGTCCCCCGTGGACCTTCGGTCTGGTGACTTTTCAGCAGACATTTTTGGCACGCAGTGCACGGAGCTCTGTTTAGGTTTGGCAGCAATGATCGACTGGAACGCCGGCAGTGCGCGAGCACGGAGAGCAGCCAGAGCAAAGCGTGGGACCCTCCTACGGGGCATGTGAGAGCGCCGGGCTGTGACTCAGGAGCCAGCCGTATCTTCCACCCCAGGGAAGGTCTGGAGCTGGAAACTGCCCGCTCGGCACCTGCAGGACGAGCGCCTCCTCATCTCCCTCCCTCGCTCGCTCAGAGCGGCCGTGTCCGTCACCCCCGGCCCGCACCTCGCACCGCCACGGCCCCAGATTACTACAACCCCCGTCGGCCCCTGCACCGCACAAAACGCATGCGCCAGCCGGCTCCCAGCGTGCCCCCAAGTCCGGAACCTGCCGGGATTTGTAGTTTTATTCTGCAGGTAGGACCTTTGCCAGGGACGCGGCCGGGGACTCCATTTCCCGTGGGCCT